GTGGCCGGCAATCCGGGAGGGCTGCTCAGAGGAAGGTGACAATTGCGTCTCCGGGAGAAAGCCTTGTGTGTACTTCCCGTCCATGGCCGGGCTTTGGTTTGGTTTGGTTTTGAATCCATTTATGTCCTCCCTCACCCTCTTGGATGCCTGGTAAAAGAAACTTTTTGGGGGGAGGCGTGAGGCTGCTAACTTCCCCCCGCGCAGCACGGTGTCAGGCTGTGCACCCCGGGGACGAGGCTGAGAGCAGCCCGCAGGACACTCGCCAAAAAAGACTGGGGGCGCGTGTCACCCCGGGAGGGGGGATTAACTTCAAAAAGAAGGAACGAGGCTCAGGCTCCCACTTCCATAAACAGGGGAAAAATCGAGCCGGGCTCTGAGGCGCGTGCCTGTAAACCCCCCGGACGCCGGAGGCTGAGATCTGAAGGATGAAAGTTCAAAGCCAGGAGAGTCTGTGAGACTGGGGGGTGGGGGGGGAGAGCCAGAAGTGGAGCTGTGGCTCAAGGGGTAGAGCACCAGCCTTGAGCACAAAAGGCCAGGGCACGGAATGGGTTGGTGGCAGATTTCAGACACAGCTGCCCATAGCAGCCATCATCCAAACTGGGGCAGGAGGGAGAGGGCTCAACATGATAACCAACAGGCGCCCATGGCCCCGAGCCGGACACCTCTGCCCGCCCTCCTCCTCCTCACGGTCGGTCACGTTCCCCACGTTCCCCACATTCCCCCCGTTTTTACCTCAGAAGCGGGGGAGTCGCTTGTTCTCCTGAGCAGAGTATTTTTTTTTAATCCTCTATATACTTTTTCTGAATGAGTCAGGCTCCAGAAAAAAAAAAAAGAAGAAGAAGAAAATAAACCAAAAGACAGAAGGGATTGAAGGGTTTGGCTGGGATGCGCTCCAGGCGCCGCAGCTCCCCTGAGATGGGGCAGGCAGGGTCTCCCCAGCCCTGGAAGACTCACTCCTGGCAAAACACCACCTAGCTACCTCCCAGGCCAACATCAAGAGGACTGAGGTTGGAGGCCAGCCTGGATAAAAGGCTGGCGAGACCCCATCTCAATCATCAGTGAAGTGTAGTGCCATGCACCTATAATCCCAGCGATGTAGGAAGTGTGCATAGGAGAATTGTGGTCTTTAGAGTGCCTGCCTAGCAAATGAGTGGCCTTGATTTCAAGCTCGAGTTCCATCAAAAAGAAGAAGAAAAAGGAGAAGGAGGAGGAGGAAGAAGAAAAAACCCTCCGGAGGCTGTGGGATGGAGGAGGAAGTGTAGAGAACCTTTTGTCATTCTTGGGAGCACAGCCTGGACCTCTGGATTGGGGAGAGCATGTGATTTCGCCATGTTCCCCATGCTTGGTCAGTTCCTGCTTTTCTGAGCCTTGGGGACCGAGACAGGAAAGCGACCTTCCTTTCCAAGGTTCCAGAGTGGACAGTCATGCAGCCTTGAAATGCATGTGTTGCCAAGTTGAATCTGAGACAGGAACGTGCTGGCATGGAGCTACCTGGTGGGGCTGTAGAAAAGGGAAAGTCTTTCAGATCAGGTCCTTTCTATCTGAGGCAGAACATCCTGGAGTCCAGGCTAAGGGAAGAGAAAGAATCAACCAAACCAAGATCCCAGGAGAGGAGCAAAGCAGAGGCTCAGAAAATAGTAATAACAACTGGCTTGTTGATGTGTTGAACTTGACTTTGGGATTATCAGCACTTGGCAACTCTTTCTTTGTCAGTCATGGGGCTTGAACTCTGGGCCTGGGTGCTGTCCCTCAGCTCTTCAGCTCAAGGCGAGTGCTTTATGAGCCACAGTGCCACTTCCGGTTTTCTGGTGGTTTAATTGGAGATTAGAGATTGGAGTCTCATGGACTTTCCTGCCTAGGCTGGCTTTGAACCGCGATCCTCAGATCTCAGCCTCCTGAGTAGCTGGGATGACAGGTGCGAGCCGCCAGCACCCGGCTCCTTTCGTTTTCTGATTTTTTTATTTTTAACTTGGTTTTGTTTTTTGTTTTTGGTTTTACGATGATTGTGTGGGGAGGCAAAATGCAAATGATACAAAATGTGGTATCCTACCCATTGTTTTATATCCGTGTTGGAGACAGAACCCAAGGCCTGAGTAAGGCGCTCTGCTAAGTGCTCGAAGCGGAGTTACAGCCCAGACAATCTTTTTATGTATTTTTTATGTTTTGGTGGGTCTGGGGTTTGAACTCAGCACCTCCTGATCGAGGCTGGGGAGCTACTCCTGGGCTACATCGGCCGTGACGCCCCACCCCCGCCGTGAAGCCACGCCCCCAGCTGCTGCTAGGGGCTTGAGCTGTGTAAAGCATTGCCCCTTCTGTCTTAGCCACGCCCACAGCAAAGCCACGCCCCTACTACAAGGCCTTGCCCCCATAACAAAACCACGCCTCATGGCTTTGGCTGTGGGGGGAGGGGGGCCAAGCCCCTTCCTGTGGGCCACGCCCACTTCTCTGAGCCTCAGCCCTGCTGTGAAGCCCCGCCCACACCGTGAAGCCCCGCCCCCTGCGCATTTTGGGCCCTTCTTGAGTTGGTTATTTATTTGTTTATTTTTTGGGTGCAGTCGTGGGGCCTGAACTCTGGGCCTGGGCGCTGTCCCTCAGCTCTTCAGCTCAAGGCTAGCGCTCTACCACTTGAGCCACAGCACCACTTCCGGCTTTTTCTTTTTGCTTATGTGGTGCTGAGGAATCAAACCCAGGGCCTCGAGCATTCAAGGCAAGCGCTCTACCACTGAGCCACCTTGAGTTGGTTATTTTTCACATAGGATCTCATGTTTTTGATTGGGCCAGCCTGGACCTCGATCCTCCTATTTATGGTCTCATGTAGCTGGGATAAGAGTCACGCATCACCACACCCAGCCGTGTGTGTGTGTGTGTGTGTGTGTGTGCTGGGGCTTGAACTCAGGGCCTGAGCTTTTTCACTCAAGGCTGGCGCTTTCCCACTTGAGCCACAGCTGCACTTCTGACTTTTGTGGTTTGGTTTTGTTTTTTGTTGGTTGTGAGGCTTGAACTCAGGGCCTGGACGCTCAAGGCTGGCGCTCTGCCACTTTGAGCCACAGCCCCACTTCCAGTTTTGGAGTGGTTCATCAGAGACAAGAGTCTCGTGGACCTTTCCTGCCCAGGCTGGCTTTGAACCCTGATGCCCAGATCTCAGCCTCCGGAGCAGCTAGGCTTATAGGTTGTAAATCTTGGGCATCCAGCTTTTGTTTTGTTCGGTGTCCTTGGGATTGGGGACTCCTTGCGCTGCCCAATTTGGTCTTGAACTTCTGGGCTGGAGTGATCTTCCCGCCTCAGGCTCCTGACTGGCGCCACACCCAGCTTTTGCCTTTTTTATCTTCTTCCTGAATGGATTCTTAGGCGTTTCTTGTTTCTTGTCTGGCTTGGTAAGGATTTTCTGGGGTGACAGCCGGGACCCCTTCATCAGATCTATTCCCCCCACCCCTGCGTGTCCTGTTGAGACAATCTAGATTGTCTGACTCTGTGTGGAGGGGAGGGGCTCGAGAAAATCTCTGCCCTGACCATGCCCTGAGTGTGTGTCCTGGTGAGTATGGATGCACACTTCCTTTACATTACCCAGCCTTGGTGCACACGCCTGTAATCACCCCCCCCCCAGCTTCCTGAGGCACGGAGGTCGTGAGTTCTAGGCCAGGCTTCACTACATAGCAAGACCCCATCTCGATGCACACGCTCATGTTGAAAGCTCAGCACCTCTGGACCCCTGACCCCCCCACCCCTCCTGCCGTTGATTTTGGTCACAGCAGCTGTGGGAGGCAAGTTGATCTCCCATCGGCAGGGCCTGAGCGTTCGGGGACCCCCACTGTGGCCTGGCTGCAGGTTGGCTGTAGGGTCTGAAGCAGAGCTGACCCCAGGCCCGCCCCACGCGTGGCCGGCGCCACACCCAGCCCACGGTGGCGCTGCAGGGCTGCGGGGCCGGGAACCACGCCACCGCCACCGGGACCGGATGAGCCGCGCTCAGAACCCCTGACACGTCCCGGAAAGCGCTGCTCGCTGCTTCCTCCCCCTCCTCCTCCCCCAACTCCTCCTCCCCCTCCTCCCCCAACTCCTCCAACTCCTCCTCCTTCCCCTCTTCTTCCTCTTCCTCTTCCTTCTTTCCTCCTCCTCCTTCTCCTCCTATTCTTCCTCTCCTTCCTCCCTCCTCCTCCTCACCTCCTGCTCCCTCCTCCTCCTCCTCCTTCCCCTCTTCTTCCTCTTCCTCTTCCTTCTTTCCTCCTCCTCCTTCTCCTCCTATTCTTCCTCTCCTTCCTCCCTCCTCCTCCTCACCTCCTGCTCCCTCCTCCTCCTTCTCTTTCTATTCTTCCTCCTCCCTCCTCTCCCTCCTTTTCCTGCTCCCCTTTCCCCACAGTGCCCCCACAGGGCAGCTCCTGTCTGCCAGTGGACGCAGCACTTTTAAGCTTCCTGCGCGCATGGTGTGGAGGCTGCAGGACGTGGGGCCGCGCTCGGGCCCTGCAGTCCATCTTGGAGACACCTTCAAAGTCAGCTTCCCCTCCTCTCCACCATTCTCTCCCTTCCCCCCCCCCCCGCCTCGGGGAGCGCAGACTCATTTCTTCATCTCACCCCCCCCTCTTTCTCTCTTCTCACCCCCCATCCTGGGGACTCTGATGGGCCAGGCCCTCTTTTATTTCCTGGGGGATCACTGATCCAGTGGGGATCAGGTGTGCCTGGAGATTCCCCAACCCCTGCCGCCCAGCTATGTCTGGGCTCCTGGAACGCCCCGTGCCCCAGTCTTCCTTAAGTCTCACATGCTTCCCCCCACCCCTGCTTTGCACCCCGCAGAGCAACGACGCCTCAGGGAATACTTGGAACTGGTTGTACTTCATCCCCCTCATCATCATCGGCTCCTTTTTTATGCTGAACCTCGTGCTGGGCGTCCTGTCAGGGTAAGTGTCCCCATCCCCGGCCAGTCGTCCAGTCCCCCGCAGGACGCGGCCTCTGAGCTTTGCTTTTACCAGGCACAGCTCTGCCCCTGGGCCTGGGTCTTTTATGTGTATTTCCAAAAATGATCATAATTAGGATTTCCTCTTCTCCTTATTTCCCAGTGGAGAAAATCACGGCACACAATTTACCCCCTGTCATCCCACTACTCAGAAGGCTGAGATCTGAGGATCATGGTTCAGAGCCAGCCTGGGCAGAAAAGTCTGTGAGACTCTTCTGTCCAGTGAACCAGCAAAGATCCAGAATTGGAGATGGGGCTCAAGTGCTAGAACTCCAGCCTTAAGCAAATAATTTAAGAGACAGAACCCAGGCCCTGAGTTCAAGCCCCAGAATCAACACACACACACACACACACACACACACACACAACTTGTCCACCAAACCCTAAGATTTAGAGAATGGGGCTTAATTATAAATTAGTCTTTCTCCACAAGAAATCTGGGGACTGGTAGTATAGCTCCCACCCCAGATTCTTCCAGCTTTCTACTCTGACACCTTTACTAGAAGCTTCCAATCACATGGCTCCCTCGTGGTCTCAAAGTGGCTGCCACCTGCTCATCAGATATCTACCCATGTTTCCAACAACCAGAGGAAGATGGGAAATAGGAAGAGGCTGGAGTAGAAAGCTCTGGCTTAGTCTCACTGGCTTCATTTGAGGAAAGGCTGAAGTAGCTGAGGAGGAGGAGGGGGAGGAGGAGGAGGAGGAGGAGGGGGACAAGGAGGGGGAGGGGGAGGAGGGCTGAGAATACAGCCAGCCTTGATGGGCCCGGCCTGTGGTTTTTGCTCCAACTGGGGGGCAGGGGATGAAAGGAATCTGGGACAGGCGGGGATTCTCATCTCTGGAAGATTCTAACTCTCCCCACAAGACTTACTTCCTTTATGGAACACAACTGCCCCCCACCCACCATGAACCCCAAAAGTACCATTCTCTCTCTCTCCATAACCGCACACTGTGATCTGTTTGTGCTCCTGTAGAGAATTTGCCAAAGAGAGAGAGCGGGTGGAGAACCGGCGGGCTTTCCTAAAGCTCCGTCGGCAGCAACAGATCGAGCGTGAGCTCAACGGGTACATGGAGTGGATCTCCAAGGCCGGTGAGACCCCCCTGCCCGCGCCACGGGGGCACGCAGAGGGGAGGGGCCACGGGGGCACGCAGAGGGGAGGGGCCACGGGGGCACGCAGAGGGGAGGGGCCACGGGGGCACGCAG